TTGACAGCTGCTAATTTGACAGTTGAGATTCGGTCCTATATGACAGAAAAATTGAAAGTTTTTGTCAATAGGTTTCGAACCAAAGATCATAACATCAACTAGGTGCGTAGCTAAACTTAGGGACGTTCACTTATGACGTCCGACATTTAGGATCAATGGAAATTTTTTTCTATAGAATTTTTGTGACAGAGGGAGGAGGGGGGTCTAAAAATCAGCTTTTTTGATGGAAGTCCTAAGTGAACGAACCCTTATCTTTTTAATGGTTTTTCAGATGACCTCACTAATCTAGCTCTAATCTTTGTCAAAATCCCAAAAAAAAAATTAAGAATTCCAACTTCTAAATAAAGCCATAAAGTAGAATTTTCATCATCAATTAAGCAAACAACAAATCTTTAATTTTTATTACTTACTTTAGATATAGAAAAATCATTCATTTTAGGAGGGGTGCATAAACAACAACGACGTATGAAGAATGAAAAAGAAAATGGGAAACTTTCCCCTTCAGAAAATGCCTTGATAACAGCAAAGAAAAGAAATAAGTTACACACAAAAAAGAAAATGCTTTATGTGTTCTGAAAAATAAATTATGATCGTCCACTGAAAATTATTCCATTTTTATAACAATTTATATCGTCGGAGGAATGACGATGATGTTGATGATATGGAAACGCCCTTAATAATTCATAACTCAATGGATAATCTTTACATTTTCGTTAATATAATGTATATCACATCGCAAGCTGAATAGAAAGAAAAAAATAAAGAAATTCTAAGGATGGAAAAAAATCGCAATTTTTCTTTTGATACCAAGTTTGGTGCCATTACTCTTATTTTTTCTATAGATATAATTTTTTAAAAGAGGAGAAGCAAATAAATGGAATAAATAAATGTCCGATCTAAAGAATTGATATTTATTGTAGGGTGGAATTATTTAATGTTATAAATATATTTTTTTTGGTTCCTTTCAAGAATCATCATCATCATCGTATACGCAACATTCTTTACCACGAGGCTTTTCTTTTCTCTTCCAGGAAGTTTTTTTGGTGGTGTCGGACCGTTTTTTAAGGATTTATTGCAAGCTAATTTGAGAATATTTGATGATTTTTGAAGTAACTTGAAACAGGAATGTAGTAAAGGCATTCAAGAGAAATAATGGAGGGCAGTCATGTGAAGAGATTAATTCAGTATCCCGTTGCATCAAGATTATGTCAACTTAAGTCATTTTGTTCCTCGTGCAAGGATTATTGAGGCATCAAACCTAGTGAAAACCTTACACATTATACTTACTTCCTTATTGTGACCATGTTCCTATGTGAAGCTTGACTCTGTTGCTTGCTATGTCACCTAGTTTGACATTCTTTCATCACTGTTCTGCGCCAAGTACTTCGAGCTCTAGTAGCTTTTGGAGCACCTGGACGTCTTTTTCCTTACGGATTCCAACCAAGGGCGGTGTAACAAACTTGTGTTTCTGTCCCAGCAATGGCATTCTCTGGCATTTTTTTTTTCTGGAGTGTATGTCCGATCCAGCCATTCCTCCTCATCTGCATCTACTTGTTGATGTCTTGTTGACCTGATTTTTTCAGAAGCTTATCACTCGCCATCAGATTCTGAGACATATTAAACTTCATCCATATTATAAACACCTATTATGACCTTGACATTAGTTTGAAAGCCATGTCAAGCTATCCATGTTAAGTTTTAGCTAATCATTGATGTATTTGAGGCGGTTTAATTCTGACAATAAGCATCACAGGTGCCAACGCATACTCTACTATTTTATTCACTTCTCAAGGTAAAGTAAGCTTTTTTTTGTGACTCGGTTAAGGCGCTCCTAATGCTTCTAAAGATCTGCTTTTGGTGAAAAAAAAGCCCATAAAATGACTAAACCTTATTGAAAAATATAATAAAAGATTTAAAAAAAATTAACAACAGAAAGAAAAAACGTATTTATAAAGATTTAACATTGTGAGATTCGAACTTCATATATCTAAAGAATTTATATTTGATTTACTTTTATACTCGTACCAAAGTATGACAAAACTCAAATCAAATTAAATCAAAACTTAATAATTACACAAAAATATTTTTTAAAAAAAGTCATAAAGCACAGTCACAAAGATCAAACGCTCGCTATCGTGATGGTCACGGTGTGAACATTACCATAAAGATTTACTGCCTATAACATTAGTTTTTTTTTCGGATACTGCGTATACATGGAAAAGCGATGATAACATGCGTATAATGGGCAAAATATTTTAGTACGAAAAAAAAGTGAGAAATTATATCAAGGCATAGAAAAAAAAGAATAACTTTTGTATGCGTATGAATGTGTGTGCGTTGGAATTTATTTAGGGTGCTTACTCTATCTTTTATTTTATTTTTTTTTCTATGTCGCTTGTCTCTCCTTCCATACTGCCGACTCTCGTTCTCTCGAAGGCCAAGCACACACAAAAATATGTGTATAAATTTATAACTGTCAACCATTTCTCTTAAGAAAATTTATTATTATTATATTTTTTTTCTTTTTCGCTTCTAATTTTTTTTTCGTTACTTGTGCCATGTTATATATCTTTCTTATCACGTCAATATATATTATATTTTTTTTTGCTCACTCTCTCTCTCGCTCTATGCCCTTCCATATCGTTCCTCTATCTCATTTCCTAGGAATAATAAATAGTCAGTCGTTGTTGTTGCTGCTACTGCTACTGTCATTGTTGGGAATCAGGGAGCAGAAAGGGGGTGTGTAAGGATGCAAAGGAGGATGAGTCAGCAAACATCTACACAAAAAAAAAGTTCAGTCTTATCTTCACATCAGATGACGCAATGAGTCTTTTCTATTTAATTGGCACATTCTGCTTATTCATATTAAATTCATGCCAATAAACAGACAAGAGAGAAGTTGGATGGAGATGGTCTTATGAAATAATGGCTGCAGATTGGGAAAGTTGAATTGGAGTTGTTAGAAAAAAAAAGATTTTAAGGCAAAAAAAATTATAACAAACGAAGTATCACGAACAAGAACTTAAGATCCCTCTGAGATTCGAACTCAGTGATTTTGATTTTGATTTTTTTCTCCAATTTACAAGCTTAAGGTTTAAAATGGCAAAAAGGCTACTTAACCCGAAAGTAGTCGGGTAGGACCTCCTTTTTTATGAATTGAGTAGTTGACCAGTTTCCACGCTTGCTTAAAAGAAGGATCCCATTTAAACAAACTTCTTTCATCCAAAAATAAGACTTCCAACTTCGAAAAGTGTGTAATTAGACAGAAAAGTCATGACAAATTTACTCTACCGCCAGTATTAATAAATAATACCAGCAAAGCACCAATAAAGACATCAAAATAAAATTATAATTCAAGCAAACAATCATAAAATCATAGCTCTCATTTAAGTCACTCCACCAACCCGTTCATGCATGCAAAATAACCGCTTCCAAATAAAATGTTTCAGAATCAACACGTTGCTCATTTCATATTAACAATAGCTATAATAATGCAATAAAAGAGAGTCCCAAATAACCTGATTATTTTATTTTGTGATATAAAATGCAGACGAACAAAAAAGAGTCACAAAAATTAAGAAATAGAAAAAAATGACGTCATTTTATGACAGGAATCACCCTTAAAAATTTGTTGACAACAAATTTTATGTTTTTTTGTGTCCCTGTAAGAACAAAAAGCCTGCCTGCCTGAGACTTTATTATAGTTCCATATAGTCACACAAAAAATACAGTCAAGAGTAAGTGAGTAAGGAGGAAAGAGCAATGAAATTCTCAGACCATAATTTACTTAATTTTATGACATACATAAAAATATCGTAAAAGTGAATTGTATACAGCAATAGCAACAACAATGTTCTGTCTCTTATGCTTTGTGCTTACTTTTTAGCGGAATTTTCTGAAGTTATTTTTAGTGCTGTGGATGTTGATTTTGGTATTCAACTGGATGGAATTAAGATTTTGAAATTTTAAAGTCCGTCACAAAATTTAAAATTTTGAAAACTGGCAAAAATTTGAAAATTTATAAAATCGTTTCATAAATTTGAAATTTGAAAAGTCGATAAAAAATTTAAAAACTTGAAAACTGTTAAATGTGAAAAATTTAAAATTGTCAAAAATTTAAAATTTTGAAAACTGGAAAAAAAATTTATAATTTTGAAAATCGGTACAAAATTTAAAATTTTGAAAAGCGGTACAAAATTTGAAAAATCAAAAAACGTTAAAAACTTTTCTATTTTTTTTGAACATTTGAAATGTGAAAATATAAAAATATTAAAAATGCGCTTAATGCACCTTTAACTTTGGCCATAAACATATCCCGAAACAAATCCTTAAAACTACTCTCTTCCTTTCTCCCTTCCTCACAAAACTACTTCATAAAATATAATATTGACGACTTTTTTATTGTTAAGTGCTAACGGTAGACAGAAGCAACGATATCTGTCATTTGATGATTTTTATGTGTGTTGTGATTGAATTGAGAATAAATTGAAATTGAGTCATTAAATTTTAAATTTATGTTGTTCCTTTCTGTTGTTCTCTATTATTGTGGTTTGTGGATTTTTTTTATATTTTATGGAACGTAACTTGTGCTTGATTATTTATGAAGCTGATGTTTAAATAAATTTGAGTGATTTTTAAAAAATAAACAAAATTGAAGTTTGTTGTTTTGATGGATATAAAATTATGGTTGTTGATGCGGTGGGAGGGAATGTAGGGGGGGGGGGTCTGGATTGGATGAATTTTACAGTATTTTAATTCTTTTGAGGAAGCGTTATTTAAATATTTTATAGCCTTTTTCAACTGTTACATAACTTTTGAAAATTTGAATTTCAAAAAACCATTGAAAATTCGAATTCAAAAAACCGTTGAAAATTTAAATTTCAAGAAACCGTTAAAAAGTTTTAAATGAATTCTAAGCAGCCTTCGAAAATATTTGAAAATTTCATCAAAAATTTCAAGGTTAAAAGAATCAAAGCAACCATTTAAATTTCAATAAAACAATTTCATCAGTTTAAATTCGAATAAAGTCTCAAAATCATCAAAAAATTGTCAAAACTCAAACAGCAACATCCAGCACAAGGATCTACTCAAAAATGCGTTTAAACTTCCTCGGAAACAAGTGCCTCCAGCCCGACTCAATATTCAGCTTTTTGGTTAAATTTATGCTGTCACATAACCATGCATTTCATGTTGCATGTAACTTATGTCCATTCGGATATTGCTACAAATATTTCATTGGATCGTATGCAGCATTTCAAATTGTGAGCAGCTTTTACATTCATTTGAGACCGTGTCGATGTAGAGACGATGACATTGTGTCGCATGTAGACATGAATTTATGTCCAATTCTGTTCTTTTGTTCTTAGGTGTATTCAGCTAAAGAACTAGTGAAGCATTTCAAAGAGACAACTGGTGAGGATGAGGAACTCCTTTTTCATATTGAATGGCTTAACATTCCAATTACGACGCACAATTTTGACATCATTCGGCATACGTTGAGCTTGTCGTCAAATTTTGATTTGTTTCTTCGTACGATGACGTCTGAGGTAAGTTGAGGGAGTTGTGGATATGATAAATAATTGGAGAATTTAAGAATAGGACTGTGATTTCTCTTGGAAACTTCAGGTTGCTGTCCATAGAATGGATTTAATTACATTTGAGTATTAAAAATCTCTAGAATTTTTTTTGAAATTTAAAAAGCCGTTGAAAATTTGAATTTTAAAGAGTCGTTAAAATTTTGAATTTTAAACAGCCGTTAAAATTTTGAATTTTTAAGCATTCCCCTTGTCTTTTTCAATTCCAGTCAGTAGAGGAACTAATCAGCTTCACATTCATATCACTCATCAACATAATCTACTTATTTATGAGCTACTGCATCCACTTTAAGAAGCTTACAAGTGAGAAGAAGTTTGTCCAATTCATCATGTGTTTGGCTTCAGGACTAAATTTGAGCTTCTTGATGTGCTATATTTTTGAAAACTACAAAAACTGCTCCAATTTTTGAAAGGAATCGATGCTAAAATTCTGATGTTTGCAAGGAACTGAATAAAATGCTGTGAGGATAATAAAGATGTGAGTGACTTCAGTTATTTTACTTTCAAAAATTAGTGTTGTGGCTTATTAGAGTGACTCTGTGGTTATTGAGGCCAACTGTAGGCAAATCTGTCAGTGCGAGATTAAAACTTCGGTAGTTAAGTGGCTAGGCAACAGGCTAGCTATCTGAAACCATTTATGTTGAGGACGTAGGTTCGATTCTCACCAAAGTCTGATCTCTCAAACTATTAAATATGGTTTTGTCGATATGACAAGGATTCGCACAATACTCATGACATTGCAGGCAGGAACCTTTAATTTGTAGTTTTAAGAATATCAATGCTATAGGTCCAGGCTTAAGAGCGTTCTCAATTGTCAGTTTATTAAGTTAAAGCTTTGATAAATCCAAGTTTCTACGCTCGTTCGTAAATGATGTCCTGCTGTTGATTAGCATGTAAATAGAAGGGGTGGGGAGAGGCGGTTGGTCCACATTAATAAGTTGTTTTTGAAGATATTTTCAATCTGAATAAAACTTACAGTAGCTAAGGTGTGCTCAAATTTAAAAGAATACACCAACATTATTTTCATGACTTAGAAAACTACGCAAAAAAAAGTTTAAATTGTCGCAAAAAAAATTGTCCAAAAATAAAGAAATAAATCGTAAGGTGACCAAAAGATGAAGAAAACGAGACAAGAAAAATAATAATAACAAAAGAAGGAATTTTTGTAGTTGTACGATGGTGTCCAAGGTCTTCAAATACTTAACTTCTTCTGGACATGCCATAAATCATAATACATGAAAATACAAATTTTTTTTTCACCGAAAAAAATAAAAAATAATTTTTTAACACAAGAGAAGAAAAAAAGATGTTTAAAAAAATATAAAAACATAAAAAAATTTATAATTTATTGTTGCAAGACAAAGATAAAGAAGTTTTTTGAAGCTTGAAGTTCTCCTTTCTTCTTATTTTCCATTCTGTTTGTGTGAAGTGAAAAAGAAATTCAGATATTTTTTTTAATATAAATTATTTCTTTATTTAAAGTCTTGTGAGGAGGCATCAGAGAATTAATTAATTATTCTTAAAGGAAATTTTCTGAATTTTTACTAGAGTCAAACTTATTTTTTTTTATTTTCATATAATTTATACAACAAAAATAAACAAAACACGAAATTGTGAATTTTATAAAATAAAATCAGATTTTTTAAGATAGCGCGACGATGCTTGTAGTTGAGAATTTATGGATTTTCAACATATTTTGAATCGAATGACATTTAGAGTATTGTAATTATTATCGAGATAAAGTGAAGTATTTCGTTGATGTAATTTGCGATGCGAGTGGAATTTTTTATTTGGGAATTTTTATTGTTTTTGAGTTGAATGAGATTTTGTTTAATTTAAACTTTATTTGTTAGAATTTTAAATTCAATTATAAATTTGTTTAAGATTTTATTTCAAATTTCAACTTTAAAGCTTTTTAAAACTCTAATTCAAACTTTGATGAAATTGAAAATTCAAACTTTTTAAATTTAAATAAATTTTCAACATCAAAAAAATCTAAATTTGAAATTAACAACAATCCCAACTTCAAAGCTTTTGAATCCACACCGATGATCCCAAAACAAAACAACAATTTTCAATCCATTTCGAATCGTAAAACTATTTACTAATTAGTTATTAAAATATTCATAACAGAAAAATGTTCTATTAATTATGGTTGTGTGTTAATAAATGTTTTATGTGTTTATAGTTTCGCAAATATAATATCAAAACCTTTGAAAATTAGCAGCAATACAACTCAATAAATAAATTATAATTTTAAATTTTTTTCTGTTTTTTGGATTTTTCGATTGGGTTTTAATTTGTTTATAGAGAATTTGGGGGTTTTATTGGCATTTCTGTCAGGTTTTCTAAAAGTTGATTTTAAAATTAAATAATTTTTGATAAATTAATTGTCGTAAGTTCGAATCTTACAATAAGATAATTATTTATTGCGTCTTTTCTATGAAGTTTGCGAAAAAAAAAATTTTTTTATATTCACACCGTCCAAAATTGAAAATGTGTTTCCTACTTGGTTCTTTGCTCAAAAAAATTTTAAGAATGTTTTATTTGTATTTGTTTTAAGCACTTGAATATTTACGCAAAGTTTCAATCCATTTGGATAAACCCTCGAAGAAAAAAGTGACAAAATTGATTTTGGCTAGGGTCGCCCCTAGTCCAAAATTGAAAATGTATTTCCTTCTTGGTTCTTTGCTCAAAAAAAATTTTAGGATGTTTTATTTGTATTTGTTTTAAGCACTAGAATATTTATGCAAAGTTTCAATCCATTTGAATAAACCCTCGAAGAAAAAAGTGACAAAATTGATTTTGACTAGAGTCGCCCCTACTCCAAAATTGAAAATTGATTTTCTATGGTGTACTGTGGTCAAAAAATTTTTTGTATGCATTATTTGTATTGACATATTTCTGACATAAATCACATACCAATATTACTTTTTGTAATGCATAGCTTAAAAAAAACCGAAATCTAAAATTTCGACTACTTCATCTGATTTTTGTTCATACTCTTCACTGTGGAAACCAAAAAACAAATTCTTTATCTTAAAACACTTGACAAAATAGCGACATAATTCAGGATTAATTACTTTTTAATATTATTTTAACATTTACAAGAAAATGTGGTTCAAATAAGTGTGAAGTATGGCAGAGATTTGGACCAAAATCAGCTATACTGGTTCATAGTGTTCCTAAGGGTGACGAAATTCAAACTAAGTGTTTTTGTAGCTGACATAATTATGACAAAAATTAGGTATAACTTTTGAACTGTGTCGATATGGGTCTCGGCCATACTTCACGCCCACCCTTCAAATTTATGCTGAGCAAATCTTGGTCTATCCATAAGACTTTTGATGGTACGGTGTGAATTTATCCGCATTGGGTTTCTACCCGATACACTAGTTTGATTTGTTTTTTCAATTTCATCCAAAATCTTCCAAAAACAATCAATAAACAATTCAAAAAAATTCCAATCTTTCATTTCATTTAGCACACAGCTAAACCCATCAATAAACGTCCATATCTCTATCTCGCATAAGCTATTTTTACGGATGAAAGATTTACAAACTAAAAACAGAACAAACAGAACTCTATCTCGCAATCCGTGTCAATTTTTGAAAATTTAAATTTGAATTGAGTTTCGATGAACAAGAAGAAAAATGAAGAAATTGGCCCTGTATTAGATCATGCATGTGACCATAAATAATTTTGAAATAAATCTCTTTTTCATTTTCAAATTATAATTCTATTTTTGACTGCAAAGAAGAAAAAGATATGAACCTAAAAATGTACGAGTTGAACCCCTTTTTTAAAAAATAAAAAAAATCTATCTATAGTGTAAAGTACGACTATAGAACGATATGAGGAACGTATGAGACAGCAGAATATAATATATGTAGTGTGTCACATATTTTCCTATGGATAAAAGAATTTATAGGAGAATAGATTGATGAACGGGATGGTGAGACTTCCAGGTTTTGTTATGGATTTTGAATGATTTTAACAATTTCTAATAAAATAAGCAATATAAATATGTATTTTGCCATTAAGTTTCAGTACAGAAAAAGTTTAAAATTTAAAAACTTTATAGTTGCTCTAGAACTATTAATTACACTTTAAATGTCATGAGTTCGAATCTCAAATCAGGAATAAAATTATCTTGTGTCTCTTTATATTAGTGTTGGCCAACCTTTTTGTGGCACTGCACAGGGTAAGCCATGACCAAAACCGCATATAATATAAGGTTCGAGGGATTTCCCATTTTTTTTTTCACAGCGTCCGTGGTGCATGGGTTTGCCATCACTGTCTTACACGAATCTTCTTTAGATTTTTTTTTATTTTTAAATTTATTTCTTTAATAACTTCAAAAGTGAATTTTTACCAATTTTTTACAAAATCTCAATATTAAGTCCTTATCACATGGAAGTCACCGAAAAAAAACCAATCCAAAACATTATTTACATGTGCGACTCTTCAGGCCTGATTCAACTTATAACGCTCATTTATAATTTTATAACCCCTTTTTTGTGTGTCTCCCTCCTGTCTTCCGTTATCGTCATTGAGCCTAAGCATGTGACACTTCAACTCAAATCCCTTTTTCATACTTCATTATGTATCGGAAACCATTATTATTTTTACATTCACATCCAGAACGAGAGTCAGTTCATTCATCCATTTTATTTTTTACTGTGCATATAATCATAATATGTTTTATGGACACTACCGCTCCCGACCTCTATAAATTTCTCACCGATGACCTCAATGATCAATGATAATTCATAATTGGCGGATATGCGAGCAACTCTTATTTTATTTTTTTTTTTCGGGCTTGCACAGACTTTATGCATACGGTTGATTATAAATTATATTAATTTTTAATCCTTTCATTCCTCCTGACACAAGCAAATTCAACAATTATTGAGAGGAAGGAAGGAAGAATGAAGCAGTTGATGATGTTTTTGTGAGGTTATGGATGCAAAGCGCATTGATGCTGGGTTCAGAATTTTATATGAAATTGCAAGGGATTCAAACCTTTGCCTTGAATGGGAGAATTAGTAAAATATTGAGGATTTTTGTTTGAAATCTTATACTTCACAAGAAGTTGATCTTAAATTTTAGGATTTTTGTTTAAAATTTTATACTTCACAAGAAGTTGATCTTAAATTTGAGAATTTTTGTGTGAAATCTTATACTTCACAAGAAGTTGATCTTAAATTTTAAGATTTTTGTGTGAAATCTTATGCTTCACAAGAAGTTGATCTTAAATTTGAGGATTTTTGTTTGAAACCTTATACTTCACAAGAAGTTGATCTTAAATTTTAAGATTTTTGTGTGAAATCTTATGCTTCACAAGAAGTTGATCTTAAATTTGAGGATTTTTGTTTGAAACCTTATACTTCACAAGAAGTTGATCTTAAATTTGAGAATTTTTGTGTGAAATCTTATACTTCACAAGAAGTTGATCTTAAATTTTAGGGTTTTTGT